TTTGTGGTCTTATGTTAAATTCTCAGCACTGGAAGAAAAAGAGATTTTGAGTAGAGGTATCCGACAAGGGTAAATAATGCTGTTCCCAGAAGATGGGACTCTCAGTGACAAAAGAGATTACCTCTTTAAGAGTTACTGGTTAGGAAGGGCTCAGATGTACCCACAACTCAGGCTATTGGTGTTTTTCTTGACTTCTCATCCATCACAACTGCATAGACCATATTTCCCATTTAATTAATTAATTAATTAATTAATTATTTTTATGTGTATGAGTGTTTTGTCTACATGTATATAAGTGGACCACACATGTGCAATGGCCACAGAGGCCAGAAGAGGCTTCAGACCCCTTGAAATTGGTGTAAAAGATGATTGTTATCTGCTGTGTGGGTTCTAGCAAGCAGCCAAGGTCCTGTACAATACCAGCCCCTGTTCTTAACTATTGAGGCATCCCTCCAGCCTGTAAGACCATATATCTAAAGATACCATACACTTTTGTTGTAGGATAATATGCAATCCATCTTTAAATGCCCAGAAAATACTCTCCTTCATGATTACATTTCATAGTACTAGAATGTGCTGTGCTTACTTCTGGGAAAAGACATAAATGGTCTCATCAAAAGCTAGATCTTGCATATTAAAACACTGACCAACTAGAGAAATTGGGCCTGTTAGTCACACAGTGACAAGACTTTATAGTGTTAACCAACTGCTCTCAAATGAATTTAAGAATGCTGTAGTCCCTAGTGGGGAACTTAGTGGTGTTATTGGCATAAATATTCATGTTGTCATACTCCTTTCTTAATATTTATATTTATATTCATAGACCTGAGTACTCTCACCTTTGCTCAGAGAAGTATTTTTTTTCCAGGGGGTATGTTTAATGTGGAGACTCGTAAAAGGTCAAAGTGCTGAGAATAAGTGACGATAAGTTCCTACTCATAGATGGGCCATCTGTATCAGCCTCTTCCCGCCCAGTGTTCAGAAAAATTCTAAGAAGTATGTGAAGAACCAATATATGAGCCACAGAATGAGCTACAGCAGTGTTGTGAACACTACTGTCTTCAAGACCATGTCATGGCTGATGCCTACATCAAATCACAGCAGCTGTAGTTGTCTACATAAGACCTACACAAGATTAAAGCAATCAAAATTCCATTATTGACAGGGTAGGATTCTGGATGCCCCATCCCTAAAAGAAGAATTGACAATTGTTGTCTGCCTGTTGGAGTGTAGGTTGTTACTTTTGTGAGTGGCCACTGGTAGATTGCCTATGGCACATTGAATGTCCCCACACCCATTCACACACATCAATAATTGGACCAAGTGGTCTCTTAATAATGACAATTTTTAAAAAAGTATATGAAGTGAGGAGGGAGAGAAGCTGGTGGTATGCTGAGGGAGGTAGAGGGGAGCAGAGTGGGATGAATAAAATTAAATGTATTCTATCCCTGTATGAGATTTTCAAGGAATGAACAAAAATTTTATTTAAAAAAGGGGGAAAAACGTAATAAAATTGTCAACAACAAAAAGGAAAAAAAGAAAAAAAAAAGGAAAAGAGAAAAATGAAGACATCAATAGATTTACCCAGCTATGAACCCTTTGGGATACCTGACCCAGATACCAAGCAAGACCTGTCCAGTGGTGTACTGTTACTGGGATATCCAACTGCTTTCTAACTGGATATGACATTCCCTCCAAGGACCAGAATTTATATATGATACTGTAAACCCAGGAATAACTCATGACTGAGGAGCTCTTGGTACCTACTGGGGAACTTATTACAGCTGTTTAGCCAAACTGACATGACATCAAAGTGCTTTCTAAATTTTCATCTTTGTATCCATAGACAAATGCTATTCTCAGCCTTAATGTGAGACGTTTCTGTTTGCAGTGAATTGAGGTGAATGTTGAGACTCATGAATGCTGAAGGTGCTGAGAATAAATGATAGTTAAGTACTTAAAGCACTTGAAGTCATCAAGCCAGCCCATATTTTGCAAGAGAAAGAACAGCATCAGTTGGCAGTCACTGCATAACTTAAAAATTCACGAAAAGAGCATCTGACTCTGCGACAGACAATTGAGGAAAGAAAAGAACGCCTTGTGAGTCTAAATATCCAGCGAGAGAAAGAAGAGCAGGAGCAGAGGGAGGCTGAACTTCAGAAAGTTCAGAAGGCTGAAGAAGAGAGGCTGCGCAAAAGAGAGAGAGAGAGAAGGAGCAGTCCTGCAGGAACATGAGCAAATCAAAAAGAAAACTGTTCATGAGCGGTTGGAGCAGATCAAGAAGACAGAGCTGGGTGCCAAAGCATTCAAAGATATCAACACTGAAGCTCTAAATATGATATTTATAGCACCCTCTCTAAGGTTCAAGGAACATGATGGAAGATTGGGAAGGAAATATAAGAATTGGAAGATAGTGAGAAGAGTTAAGAAAGGCCATCTTCCAGACAACACAAAGTCATTCTAGTGACTTTAACTTTATTAGCTATCTGTCCCTACTATTAGATTGGTGGTAATTTGGATATTTTCTCTGGGATCTTTATTATTATGTTTCCCTAAGGGAAATGTGGAAAAGGTATAAACTGTGGACTGAGCCCAAATGTGCATCCTACTTCTAAGTGATGCCTTTGCTTTCACTGACTGAGGTAATTTGTTGGTGGGATCATCTGCTTTGCTTCTGTGAATGTTTTATTGGTATTATAACTTAATTGTAAGTAAAATGTCAATGTGATATTTGACTGAGATAGTGAATAAAACACATTTTTAGTTGTGATTTAATTTAATGTTTATATGCTTTGTCTTTTCTTAATGAGGCTTTTTTTCCTATGTAACATAAATTTCTATTTTCTAAAGGGAAAAACAACTTGTATTGACATCAACCATATAAAAAAACCATAAAACAGAAAAAAATTAATCCTGGGACATTTCCAGTAGAGGTTAACCCCTCCAAACACAGATGGGTTGCTTTTAATAAAGCTCCCCTGATTCTCTAGTTTAAGAACTAATTCGATTTCTACGTGAGGGAGGATAGAGAGTCTTTTCCTCAGAATTATACTATAGTCATTTCTGTTCATCTAATTCCATTACAACTGTTTAATTATATTTTTGTTAAGAAAAAGAAACTGTTAGACTGTTAAATATAAGTATTCTGTCCACATGAAAAAATTATTTCAAGACCATGAATTTTATTAATATATTTAAACAATGAAATGCTAAATGTAACAAAACATGGATTGCTAATTTCTGATAGTTTTGGTTACATGAGACTAAACACAATATGTTATTGATATTTCAGAATCCTGCTATATTTCACAAAATCCTTGTTTTAAAGAGTCACATTTAACTAGGAGTGGTGGTGCATGCCTTTAATCCCAGCGCTCGGGAGGCAGAGGCAGGCAGATTCTGTGAGTTGGAGGCCAGCCTGGTCTCCATAGTGAATCCAGGACATCTGGGGCTACAGGGAGACCCTGTCTCAAAAAAACCAAAAAAAAAAAAAAAAAGAGTCAAGTTTGTTTGAGCAAAAATAAATGATATTGTAAAATTTAGTATTTACACTCTGAAGATGTTTTTCCTACAACAAAATACCTTATTTATTTTCTTACATCTGTTTCTCCATTTTTAGAAAATTAATACATTCAGATGTGAATAGAAATTTAAATTTCCTGTAAGAAAATGGGCATTTGAAAACTTAAGAAATAGTAGGACACAGTTTTTCTTCACTCACTATTATTCACATATTAAATATTCATTATCACCTGAACAATGACATACAAGTGTTTTGTGTTTATTATAATAATTTTCTGTTGCACTATATGATTTGAAATGATTGATAATAAAAATTTATTTTCTTCCCATTTTTTTTCCAATCTGGAGCTGCTTGATGAAAGAAAAATAACTAACTTCCAACGTTCTCTCATTTTTTCTTTGTTTTGATGCAAGATTTTGTTTTGTAGTTCAAGATAGTCACAAATTCTCAAATCCCCAACCTTAGACTGGGGTATATGCCATCAAATATAGAACCCTGTTACTCTTTGCAATATGAATTTGCATTTTATATAAGAAACCAGATGAAAAAATTCTTTATAGCAACTTGTGGATTAAAATTTTGTCATATAATATACATTATTTTTTATATACCTTTTAACTAACTGAAGAAAGCCGTCAATGTTATCACCAGGCAAAACAAATTGAGATAAGTTAATAGGTTGCAAACTTCTCATTTTATTTCGTAATCAACTTTTATCTGTCAGCTTTCTAATATATGATGTTAATGAAAAACTTCTTTTTCAAAAAGATAAAAAAATTAACCAAAATATGAATTTTCAGGCTTCTCTGTAACTTCTTTCAATCGCCTTGGTATTTTATGCATACCTTTAAGGAAAATGCTAATGCTTATACCATAATGATAGGGTTTTAAGTTTTAGGAACATTTCCATATTTATTCCTTCCAAATATGTACTTCACTTGTATTGGTAATATGTCATACACAAACATTCCTTATTCAATTATTGATGATATTTACCTTGCATTGGCTAATTTCTTGTATTTAGTAAGATTAATGCCTCAAAGATTATACAATGTAGGATAATTGCATAATAAAAAATTATGAAATAGACAATAACTATGCAATATACTAATTATACCTTGCATTAATTTAGCATCAAGGAAGTGTATAAAATTACACAAATAAATTAAGAAGAAATGAAATAAATAATTATGGAAATTTTTATCCACCATCTTTTTATGAATTATAAAATTACAATATTGAAAGACTTTAATGATTATAAAGTAGAT